CGAGACAGCTGATGCCCCATTAAAGAAATTATCTTACTCATGATTTAGAGCTAGTTGTAGTGGTATTTGCTTTGAAGATTTGGATGCATTACTAGGGTGGGAGTAATATGTGAATTTTTTACTAATCATCAGAGCTTAAAATACATATTTTCACATAGATAATTAACTTTGAGATAGAGAAGATAGCTGGAGCTAATTATGGACTATGATGTGGATATTCAGTATCATCTGAGAAAAGTAATATTGTGGCCGATGCTTTAAGTCGTAAATCTATAAGAACGATGAATTAGATGATTACTCAGGAGGTTTAGTTGATCAAGTAAATGGACAATTTGTAATTAGAAGCTAGAAATTATAAAAATGTGGAATACTTACATCAGATGACAGTAAATCCAACTTTAACAGAACGTATCAAAGAATCTCAAAAGATTCATAGTGAATATTCAAAATTGATGGAGCAATCCCAATCAAGGAAAAGAGCAGGTCTTTCGGTTGATATTGATGAGAGCAATAAGCATAAATTGCAATTGTGGGTGCCCAGTGATCCAAAATTAAGAAAAACAATTTTGTAGGAAGCTCATCATTCTGGCTACACAATTCACCCAAGCAGTACCAAGATGTATAAAGACTTAAAAATAATTTTCTGGTGGCCAGGCACGAAGAAAGATATTGATAATACATAGCTAAGTGTGAATTATGTCAAATTGTGAAAGCTGGACATTAGCTACCAATATCTATCCCTGAGTGGAAGTAGGAATATATTTTAATGGATTTTGTTACCATATCTAGGCAATGATATAATAACATTTGGGTAATTATTGATAGACTGACAAAATCAGCTCACTTTTTTCCTACCAAGCAAACTGATTCAGTAAATAAATTGGCATGCCTGTATGTGAAAGATATTAGCAGATTATATGGTATTCCAAAAATTATTGTCTCAAATAAAGATGATAGATTCACTTCTAGGTTGTAGAAAAGTATTCATGAAAACTTGGGCACAAATTTACATTTCAATACAGTTTTTCATCCTTAAACCGATGGTCAATCTGAAAGAACAATTTAAGTATTGAAAGATTTGTTGAGATTATATGTTTTGGGAATATCACATACCATTGATAGAATTTGCTTACAATATTAACTATCAATCAAGTATACAAGTGAAATCATATAAAGCACTTTATAGTGGAGAATGAAGAACTCCCTTAAATTGGGTTGATGTAGAAGAAAGACAACTAATGGACCCAGAACTAGTTGATGAAGCAACAGAGAAAATCAGACTAATCAGAGATAAATTAAAAGTTGCTCAGGATTATCAACAAAAGTATTGTGACCCCAACCACAGAGCAGTAGATTTTGAAATTTGGAGCTTTGTATTTCTGAAGGTTAAGCCTATAAAAGGTACAGCCATTTTTAGGCAAGGAGACAAATTGGGTTCTAGATATATAGAACCTTTTGAAATTATTGAAAAGATTGTGAAAGTTACTTAAATGCTTACTCTTACAGCTGACATGTCACATATCCATAATATTTTCATATATCACTGCTAAGGAAATGGGTTACAGATTTCCATCAGAGAATTTCGCATGATGAAATTGATCTACAAAAGAATCTAACTTACACTAAGGAACCAAACAAAATAGTAGATTTTAATATTAAACAGCTCAGAAACGATCAGATCCCTTATGTTAAAGTGAAATCAAAATACACACCAAAAAAAGAGATAACCTCGTAGAGGGAAGAAGACACTTGATTGAAGTTTCCTCATTTATTTGATGACCAGATAATAAATTTTAATAATGAAATTTCAATGAGGGTAAGGTTATAATATCAAAAATTTTAAAAAATAAGCATAAAAATTTGTCCCAAAAGTTATTCTATTTTATCATTTCTCCCTAGCACGACAAAGTTATTTTCTTAAAATTCTACATTTAATTTTGAGTATTTTTTACATATATATGTCTATTTAAAATTTCAATCTAACAGTCTATATGTATAGTTATTCATTTAATAGCTATTTAATATTTAATTAACCGTTAATTAAAAGCTAAGTAATAGTTAATTAACAGTTAATTCATTTTTCGTCATATTACTATTCATATAGCCGACCCACTTAAGCTTGCATGCAACGGTTTGATGGGATCCAGTAGCTGATGTAGAGTAGGGGAATGTTAGTGGAGCCATAGTAGAATATTAGTGATATTATTATATTAAGTTGCCTTAAGCACTAAAGCTAAAGCATTTCCTTTCACTCCTTTTCTTCTCCCATTCCACAACAATCTGGCTTTCGAAGCTGATGCTTGCTGCAGAGTGGAATTCATGATCCAGAGGAGGGGAGGCGAGTGAAAATTTGGCTCTAAGGCTACTGCAGCTGCTTCTAAGCTTAGGTAAGAAAATTTAATTATTGAATTCAAGTATTTGACGCAGATAAGAATTGTTGTAATGAAGCTATAAATGCTGAATTACTAAATTTTTGAATTCAGGTATCTCAAATAGATCGGAATTGTTGTACTGTTGCTGAAATCTGATAATAACTGAGAAGTGAGAAGTATTGAAAGAAGAAAAAATTAATGTTGAATGAGAAGTTTAATGGAGGAAGCATACAAAAGGGAAAAAAAGCATGATCAACTAGAACTACTTCCTAGCAATGTGAGATGCACAAACTATGACATAGGAAATAATAAAAATTTCATATACTACAACCTCATATTTGATATGGACCATAAGAACATTAAATTCATGTTTCATCATGTATTAATTTATTTATTTATCAAGTAGTGATTATAATGGCATATTTTATAATTATTAAATGTGAATTGTATTGAAAAGGTGAAATAAATCAGACATGGGGGGTAGGCCCGCACAAGTAAAAGTAAAAGACCAGAAGAGATAATCTTATTCTCTCTCCATTCAAAAAATTTGGAATTTGGACCCAACCTTAAATGAGAAAGCAGCTTCAATTCTAAAAGTTGTGAATGCGGATCAAATCTTGAATTAGGAAGTTATAACAGTGCAAAATCCTATAGTCATCGTAATGAATTATAAGAAAATTGTTGAATAGTAGGCAGAACAAAAATTGATGTTCCGCACATCTTATGTCCAGTATGAAAATTTACAAGTGTTTTCAATTGATAGTGAATATATTTATTATTATTTCTTGTACATTATTTTCATATTTTATTGAGCTCTAGCTCATTAGCAGTGATTGTACTGCAGGAAAAGGGAATGAGCCAGTGAAATAGTAGGCAGGATGGTAGATTGCCTTTTTTGTGCGCATATGTTTTGGTTGTACAAAGAGGTCCAAGTGGAAGTTGTACATACACCTTTAGGTATGTAAATGAATTTTAAAAAGATTAATAAATCTTTGTATTTTATATGAGATATTTTGAATATGTTACTGTTATGAAATATAAAACTTGATATGCTAGGATAGTCTGAATAACCTACTTCTTACTCACCTGATTCTGATAGTAGTTCAGAATGGGTGTTAGTAAGAAGGTGTGTTCAGATTCTCTTTTTTTTGTTACACTCCATGTTAACCGTAAAGAGAGTCAAAATGGGGTGTGTCAATGACGCAACCACGAGATCTTAATCAGGTCAACCTTTACACCCTAATCATTCTCCACTCAATTGAATTCACCTCTAAAAATCAAAATTTAGCCTAAATTTGATCCTAAGAAATCTTAGGAATAGTTGTTGATCATGTTATGCCTCTAAAGTCTAAACATTTGTCGATTATATCCAATACCTCTAAAATACAAGTGATAATGCTTAATGCCTTTAAACTATTCAATGAAAACCGATATGACTAGACACTATCAAAAAAATAAATGATGATAATCTCGAGAAAGTATGTCTTTTAGACCCATACATGTTCACCCCAATCTACTTATAACACCCAAGAAGAGTCAACCTATTGTTGCTAATCAAGGCCCATTATATGATATTTCTCAAAACCTCTAACATTGTTTGGTTGGGTCCATTAGTATACACGGGATTAAACAACTATGCAATCTTGATCGGGTTTACCTTCATCAGCCCGATCATTCCACAATAGATTGAATTCACATCTAAAAATCAAATTCAAGCCTACATTTGAGTCTAAGCAGCCTCTTTAAATCAAATATTCAATTATAATATCTCAGAACCTTATGAGGTTATACAATTTTCCTCTAAATTATTCGATGAAGTTAGCACAATTAACTCTACTAATGAACGAGTTAATATCAACCTCGAAACTCTGTCTTCTACATAAATGCATTTCCACTCTAATCTGATTAGGACACTTGAAAGGAGTAAACCTATGGTTGTTAATCAAGCTCCCCATACCTTATGGCTCGAAACAATCTAATCTTGGAAAACTAGATTTAAGCATAAGATCTTGATCAATTTTAGCTCCATCCCCTAACAATTCTCTACTCAATTAAATTAACTCGAACTATCAAATCCAGGCCTAAAATTTGAGCCTAAGTGACCACCTTACTCAACAGTGTTCTCCTACAGGTAGGGGCGGTCATTAACAATGTAGCTTATGGTCATAAAAATCTCAATTCATATTTAAATAAACCCTAGTCTATCATCTGAAAATCTAGTTAAAATAAACTTGATATATCTAAAAAATAACTGAGATTCTCATCACATTAAAGAAACTCAACGAAGGGCTGGCTTTTTTGTGAGCGATCAATATTCCACAGAATAGCATAGAAGAAGAAGAAACAGGAAGAGTACTTTAAAAAGAGGTGAAACTTAAACAAAATGTAAGGCATCAAGTGCAAGTTAGTTTTCTCTGAAGATACCACTCAATATCCTGTCCAGGTTAAAAATTGTTATTCTAAATCCATTTTCTGTCATAAAAGAAAAGACTTAACATAGTATAAATGCACAATTATTGCTGCTAATGTGGACAAAGCTTTCAAACAAACCAAATCATGCAAGGATAGACCATAATTTCATTGAGCAAAGAGGGGAAGGGGAAATGCTAGAAACAATGCTGAACTCACTAGTTGAGCATTATTAAGACGTTTTGCAGCCATTTCATACTCTTTCATTTTGCTCTCCTGCATTGACACAAAAACATTTAAGAAATTGCAAGAATTGGAGACCTGACTGCATTTATGAAAGAATCAAGAAATTTAACCAGACAAGGAAGCAGAAGCAATAAAGTGAACAATAGTCAATCTCTTGATAACAGCTTAAATAGGGAACTGAGCAAACACACATTTGACAAGATCCGTAGGGAAAAGTTCTACATGAACATTAAAAAAGGGTCCTGTAAAAATAGTTGTGCAAAGGATTTGCACGAGAAAATATATTGGATCACATTGCTAACAGAACACATTTGTGAAAAAGAGCATATCAAGTAGGAAGCCTTAAAACCCAGTTCTCTAAGGCCTTTGCATAGGAAATTAATGTTGGATCTTGTTGTCATTTTAAGGCTTTCAATGAGTAACTAGGTTCGATCTATTGTAAGCTGAAGACATCAACAAAAAAAGCATATAAAATAGATGCAATCACACAACTGAGTCCAGGGAGGAGTACCTGTAAGAATTCTTAACCTTCTACATAAGGGAGGCCGCTTTGAAATTCAAATCCATGAACTAGACTCATGATGCAACAACCTAAGTTGCTCCAAGCTTAACTTCTCAAGACAAATGTAGGAGGCAAAAATAAAATGATCAAAACCCACAAAGAGACATGTGCGTAGATTGTGATGAGAAAATTGTTCAGAACAACATAAACCTAGGACTTATTGATTTATCTTTGGAGCTTTAAGAGAAACTAAATATGCAAACAATTTTAAATGTGCATTTTTGCAAGTACTTCATGATCTACAAAGCCAATGGTGGAAACATAATATAAGAGTATAATTCAAAGTGAGTAATAAGAATAGCTACTCATAAAAAGGGCATGATCAGCAGTTACAAACCAACAGGGTCAAGTGCAAAGATCTATTGTTGAAGGAGATTATAAAGTTACAACCCACCAAAAACTATTTAAAGTGAAGAGAAATGAATATGAGAGGAAAGTTATGGAAATCAGCCACCTGGCTAGTGTCTTCTTTTTCTTTAGGCACCTCTTTTACTGGTTCTTCCTCTTCACGTTTGTAAAGCTGTTCAAAAGAAGGGATGTTAATGAAGAAAACCTTAGATTGAAAATCTACATCAAGATCGTCAATAAAACTAAATATTTTTTCTTACACTAGTAGAATCAAGTTAATACAGTAAGAACATAGAATATAAAATTACGGGTCACATTCGAACATTTTATTCGCGCACTTAGGTAAGTACTAGTGATGTAGGCAGGGGGGGTCAAATCAAATTCTAATATTTGATTTTTGACTTCTCTAGCTCATTAATGTCAAGTAGTGGTGAAGCTCATTATGAGCTGATTTTTTAGTTCATTTATGGAACTAAAAAATTAGCTCATTAATTTTTAAACTTGGCTTTTCTCCTTCCCCCTTTATTATTCTCATTTCTCTGTAATTTCACTTGCCTTCTCCTCTTCCTGTTGCCTCTTGGATTGCTGCGGATTCCCTGCTGGTTTTGGCCCTTTGGTTTGCTCTTGAATTTATTGCCCTGTGGTCCCCCTTTTACTGAAATGAATATGGTTGTTTGGTCCCTGTGCTTGGCTGCTGGGATCCGTGACTTCCCTGCTTGGAACCGTGGCTTTATTCCTTGTTTATTTCGCTGTGTCGTTTGGGATTTTGGTATAGTGACTGCTGGTCTTTCAATTCCCTCATTTATTTGAGTATATGAAGATATTTTGGGGGCTGTTTTTGGACAGAATTTGAACAGTTTTAAGTGGCTGTTTGGTGGCTGTTTTGGGAGGAATTCCAAGAGACTTTTGCTAATTTCTAGACAGATTTCTACTGCAGTTTTTAGGTGCCTTTTGGCCTTCTATTTTCAGCTTTTAATTAATGTTTTGGGGCTGTTTGTATTCCCCTCTTAAGTCTATAAATAGTAGTTGTTTTGTAATGTTTTGGAGAGGTTATGATGATAATTTTTGGGACAAAACCTGAGAGGTTTTCCTTGGAAAAAGCTTGAGAGCTTTGTTCCACTTCTTCTTCTACTTCTATGGAAATCTTGCGAGCTCTTTCCAACCTTCGTCTTGACTTCTAATCTCTTTCTTCTATCCGCAAGTGCCACCCCACCAGTATCCTTCTTCTCAAACAAGAAATGCAACTTTAGGTGTTTGTCTTATTAGAATCGTTTGTAGGGTTTTTGTGTTTTTAAGTGTCTTGTAAGCATCTTTAATGTTATGTCAAAAGTTTGTAAGTCCTTTTATATGATATAAAAAGTTTGTGTTTGTTTTAATTTGTCTAGTTTTGTGAGTTCTTGATTTTTTCTAGATCCTAGAAAGAGTCTAATTTTGTGATCAAAAATTTGGGGCCCTCTCCCAAATTTTTGATTGCATCAACTAGCCTCTTTTCTTACGATACACTATAACATTAAAGTAATTCTATAGAAACCCAGGTAGAATGATTAAAGGTTCAAGTAAAATTGGGAAAACAAGCAGCAAGTTAATTGGAATCAAAACTGAATCCGATAGGAGAACATGCCCACCTTAACAGGTAGAAAATAAAAGTCAACTATTTGCATCGGTATTACGGAATCTATGATCTTATGATTAGTAGAACTAATAAAGATATTTATAACTCAGTTTCCTGTTTTCAAGGATCAGTAAATTTATGTTAGCAACAATATCTACATAGCCAACGCCGTCAATAGGGCAAAGTTTAAGCATGTTGACAGGTCAAACCAGTACTATGCTGATTTTGGCTATAGCATACGGAATCTATAATTTGGTGCTTAGTAGAAATAATAAAGATATTTGTAACTCAGTATCTTGTTTTCAAGGATCAGTAAATTTATTTGAGCAATAAGATCCACATAACCAACACCACCAATAGGGCAAAGTTAAACTTGTTAACAGGTCAACTATTTGCATCAGCATTAAAGAATCTATGATCTTGTGCTTAGTAGAAATAATAAAGATATTTGTAACTCAGTTTCTTGATTTCAAGGATCAGTAAATTTATGTTAGCAGTAAGATCTAGATAAACAACACCATCAATAGGGACAACTTTAAGCTTGTTGACAGGTCAAAAATTTGCATCAGCACTAAGGAATCTATGAGCTTGCACTTTAGTTGAAATAATAAAGATATTTGCAACTCATTTTCTTGTTTTCAAGGATTAGTAAATTTATGTTAGCAAAGAGATCTACATAACCAACCTTGTTGACAGCTAAAACCAATACCATGCTGATTTTGACGAGCATAACTCCCAGATCTAAATTGGTCTAGGGAATAAAAAAACCTTCACAAAAATGTATTACATGTAAATATCATATTTAAGTATTTGCATACTTCATGTTATTCAATTGCCTAGACAATGGGACAGGCTTAGGCATGGCAAAGACAAACTAGACCCTTTTAGGCCAATCATACTGATAGGACTTGATGATCAAAATAACACACGACAATATAAAAAATAGCAACTTACTCCAAATAGATCTAGAAATAATACAAAGAGAACTGTTTTTACTAATTTCCAAGCAAAGCAAGACAAGATATAAGTTGATTCATTGTTCGAGAGGTGAATCGTCTCTCCCACAATTTCTAGCAGCTATTAGGAACCCAAACACCTCATAAAAACTACTGCAGAAATTCAAAACATAACATAAAAATCTTAACCGTACATAATCTCCCCCTTTAAACAGCACAATACCCCTAATAAATGTCCCTTATATCTTTCCCAAAGAGTTTCCCCTTTCTCAAAGAGGTCCCTCCCAAAGCCTCTTCTCTTATAGGTGATAAAGAAGGTCATGGGCTCACCTAGGCAGCTAGACTGTTTCTGCCAACTATATCAATATTCCCATCCAAAACATTCACCTTTTCCTCAAGGTGTAAAAAGGGAAACTACTTCTGAATAGTACTATAGAGCTCCTATGTCGCCTCATACTCCGGTAAATCATTCTACTTAATCAGTACCTCCTTGATCCCCTTATCTCCTTGGCACACCCCTTTTAACTTCATTGGTTCTAATATCAACTCAATATCCTCTGACAGGGCGAGGGGGTATGGTTTCCAATGGCTTGTCACAACAACAACAACAACATCAAGCCTTTGTCCCACTATGTGGGGTCGGCTACATCAATCCTTTTTCGCCACTGTGTCCGGTTAAAAGTCAAATTCTCATTTAAAGCTAATAAAGAAATATCATTTCTAATATTTTCTAACCAAGTCTTCTTAGGTCTACCTCTACCTTTCTTAACATAAGTCAAGTCTAATACCTCAACTTTCCTAACCGGGTCATCGGGAGGCCTTCGTTTAATGTGACCAAACCATCTAAGGCGACTCTCTCTAATCTTATCTTCCACTGGAGCTACTCCAACCTTTTCACGTATATGCTCATTTCGTATCCTATCTCTAAGGGTCAAGCCACTCGTCTACCTAAGCATCCTCATCTCTGCAACACATAACTTAGTATTATGCTTCGCTTTTAATGGACAACATTCGACACCATAAAGCATTGCAGGTCTCACCACCATCTTATAGAATTTTCCCTTAAGTTTGAGGGGGACTTTTCTATCGCACAATAAGCCCGATGCATTCCTCCACTTCAACCATCCAATTTGAATTCAGCTAATAATATCGCCATCAGTTTCACCATCACTCTGAATAAAAGATCCAACATATCTAAAATGTGTGCTCTAATTAATGACTTGATCGCCCAAAGTCACAATTCTCTCACTAGGTCTATTGTTACTAAAATTACACTCCATATATTCCGTTTTAGATCTACTCAAGCGAAAACCTTTAGACTCTAAAGTTGACCTCCATAATTCAAGTTTACCTTCAACTCCCACTCTAGTCTTATCAACAAGAAGAATATCATCAGCAAAAAGCATACACCAAGGTAGATCCTCTTGCAAATGTCTAGTGAGAATATCCATGACTAAAGCAAAAAGATATGAACTTAAGGCTGATCCTTGATGTGATACAACTGAAATAGGAAAATACTTGGTAAAACAATCTTGTGTTTGAACACAAGTAATAGCTCCTGCATACATATCTTTAATAATTTGAATATAAGCATTATTAACTCCTTTGTTTTCAAGAACTCTCCATAGCGCTTCTCTTGAAACTTTATCATATGATTTCTTTAAATCAATAAATATCATATTTAGATTCTCCTTATTCTCCCTATATTTCTCCATCAAACCTCTCAATAAATGTGTGGCTTCCATAATAGACCTACCCAGCATGAATCCAAATTGATTTTGAGAAACATTAGTATCACGCCGCAACCTACGCTCCATAACTCGCTCCCATAGTTTTAAAGTATGACACATTAACTTAATTCCTCTATAATTCGCACACTCTTATGCATCATCTTTATTCTTAAAAATAGGAATTAACACACTCATTCTCCACTGATTTGGCATCTTTTTAGTCTTTAAAACAATATTAAAAAGTTTAGTAAGCCAAGAAATTTCTTTATCTCCTAAGCATTTCCACATCTCTATTGGAATATCATTAGGTCCAACAGCTTTTCCACTTCATTTTATTTAAAGCCTCTGTAACTTTAGTTTTACTTATACGCCAATAAAAATAAAAATCTTTATTTTTATTTAGGGTGATAAAGTCACTAAAGTCAATCATATTTTCACATTCTCATTAAAAAGTTTAGCAAAATACCTCATCCACCTTTGTTGAATATCATATTCTAAAAAACTACTTTTTGATCTTCATCCTTAATACACTTTACTTGAACTAAATCCTTACTGCTTCTATCTCTTTGTTTGGCTAACTTATACATATATCTTTCTCCCTCCTTAGTATCTAATATATTATATAATTCGTTAAAAGTTAAGCTCTTTGCATCGCAAATAGCTTTGTTAACTTCCTTACGAGCATCTTTATAACTTTCTCAATTATCAGAATTTTTATATTTAAACCAATTTTTATAACAATCTTCTTATTTTTTATCTTATCTTGCACATTTAAATTTCATCACCAACTATTTTTACTATTAGGAACTTTTTCCTTTGAAACTCCAAGCACATCTTTTTGCAATATTCTTAATATCACAAGCCACTTTTTCCC